CTCTTAGGAAAAAACATATGGGTAAATCTTCACAACTTTGGATTCTGGATGGATTCTTAGATAGGACATCAAAAGCACAAGCAAGAAAAAAAGATAAATTAGACTTCATCAAAATTAAGGACATTATCAGAAAAATGAAAAGATAGGCCCTAATAGATCTAAAGAATCGGGCCTATCTCATGCCTTAAAGACCTACCTTGGAGGCATTGTATCCCATAGGGACATTAGGTCTCCTTCAGGATTTCATTACAAAGTGCATGATTCACCTCTTTACAAAAATAAATAGAAGTACAGAGAGAGAGACAGACAGAGAGAGAGAGAGAGAGAGAGAGAGAGAGAGAAATAAAAGAAAGAGAAAGAAAGAAAGACAGACAAATGTTAAAAGATGACCCGCAGGATAGGAGAAAAGTATTTGCAAATCACGTATCTGATAAAGGCTCTAGTGTTCAGAATATATTAAGAACTGTTACAACTCAACCACAAAAAGATAAGCAACCAAAAGTAAAAATGTGCCAAGAACTTGAATAAACATTTCTTCAAAGACGTTATACCAATGGCCAGCAAGCACAGGAAAAGATGCTCAGCATCTTTGATTATTACGGAAATGCAAATGAAAACCACAATGAAATACCACTCTATGCCCACTAGTGTGACTATTTTTAAAATAGAAAATAAGTGTTGACGAGGATCAGGAGAAATTAGAACCCTTGTGCACTGCTGGTAGAAATGTAAATAGGGCAACTGCTATAAAAAACACTGAGGGTTCCTCAAAAAGTTAAGCATAGACTTACCATATGACCCAGCAATCCCACTCTTATGTATATACCCAGAAGTGAAAACAGGGGTTCAAACAAGTAGATGTACATACATTTTTTCATACTAGCATTACTCACAACAGCCAAAAGGTGGAATCAGTCCAGATGTCCTTTATATACATACACACACACATACATATATGGTGGAATTTTACTTGGTCAAAAAAAGGAATGAAGTACTGATACATTCTACAACGTGGAGGAACCTCAAAAACACTAGGCTTGGGGCGCCTAGGTGGCTCAGTCAGTTAAGCATCCAACTCTTGATTTCAGCTCGGGTCATGATCTCATGGTCTGTGAGTTCAGGTCCCACATTGGACTCCAGGCTAACAGTACAGAACCTGCTTGAGATTCTTTCTTTCTCCTCCACCACTCTCACTCTCTCTCAAAAATAAACAAACATTAAAAAAAAAAAAAAACCCACTAGGCTTAGTTACTGGAAGAAACCCAACCCTAAATGCCACTTATTATATGATTTTCCTTACATGAAATATCCAGAACAGGTTAATCTATAAAGACAGAAAGTAATTTTGTGGTAGCTAAAGACTTGGGATAGGGAAGAGTGAGGAGCAACTATGAGTACAGAGTTTTCTTTGGGGATAACGAAAAGGTTTTGGAACTTGATAGAGATGGTGATTTAACATCATGAATGTTCTAAGTATCACTGAATTATATATTTAAAATGGTTAATTTTGTTATGTGAATCTCATCTCAATTATTTTTTAATGTTTTGTTTATTTTTGAGAGAGAGCATAAGCAGGAGAGGAGCAGAGAGGGGAACAGAAGATCCCAAGTGGGCTCTGTGCTGACAGTAGTCATGAACTGTGAGATCATGACCTGAGCCGAAGTCAGAGGCTCAACCAACTGAGCCACCCAGGCCCCCTCTCACCTCAATTTTTTAAAAAATTGAATGGAGATGCTGAAGGACCCATCAAAAAAGCCTTAGGAGCAAGACAAAAAGACCAAAAAACAAACAAACAAAAAAAGTGAAACACATACAAATATAAAGCAAAAACAAAACAAGAAGGCATAAAACAGAATTTCTCCTTGTAAACAATGATGGATGTGAACATTCTTAGCTCAAAAAAAGGGGACAGAGTATACATAATCATAAAAGAAGCAAATGAAAGAATTTTCTAATTAGCAGAGCTCTGGGAATGCTGGTTGGATAGGTGAGATATCTAATTATCATTTTAAGTTCATTAAGATACTAAAGGGCAATAAACCTAAGTGGGATAGAGACAGGGAAGAACCCCTGCTTTTCTGAGAACTTAAGAATTAGAAGGAGATAGCTCAGATTGGTTTGAAATTGGATACAGAGTAGACTAGAAAAGAAAACCGATTGCACTAAGGATCAGGACTTACAGAGATATAATGTAAGACAGGAAGATAGTGAATACCTAACAGAGACTATTAAAGCTTTAAGAAATACACCATCTAAGTAATTTGAGAGGAAACCTGAATTGTATCACAATTATACATATGTGTATACAGTGCACAGCATATACATATACTGTAGTACATGTGTTTTCAAGCTCCAGGAGTTGAACCACAAGAGACAGGAAAATCTGAGGATTAATTAAGCTGTAATCTAACATCTTATTCTCAGGAAATAGTATCAAAAGGTTAGGGTAATGAGTGTATGAAGGTATGCATATGAATGTTCATTGCAGCATTGATTATCTTAGCAAAATAACTGATTCAAAGTAAACATTCACTAGTATGGGAATGGATAATTTATGGTGACCATACAATGAACTATTATGAAGACATTAAAAAGGGCGAGGTAGATTTTTATATATTGGTTTAGAAAGAGGTCTAAAACATAATGAAGCAGGGGGAAAGGAGATTGTAGAGCAATATATGGAGGTTTCCATTTTTGTGAAACCAAAGAAAACAAAAAGCCCCAAGGAATAAAATTCTATATATGTCTGTGTTAGCCTAGAAGAAAAACCTAGAAGACTGCACACCCAACTGTAAACAGTAGTTACCTCAGGTGGTAATGGCTGGGAGACTGTACTTAACATAAGTAAAGTCCTTAGAACAGTGTCTGGCCCATAGTTGGTGTTCATTATGTGTTAACCACTATCATTTTTCTTTTATATAGTTTGACACTGAATTACTAAAAGGGATTATTTTTGTAATGAAAAAAAAAAAAACAATGTTCACAGAATGACAGAAAAACAAATGGTCAAAAACATATGAAAAGATGCCCAATCTCATTAAGAATCAAGAAAAATACAAGTTAAAATAACAGTATCAGGGCACCTGGGTGACTTAGTCATTTAAGCATCCAACTCTTGATTTCAGCTCAGGTCATGATCTCACAGTTTGTGCGATTAAGGCCTGCATTGGACTCTGTGCTGACAATGCAGAACCTGCTTGGGATTCTCTCTCTCTCTCTCTCTCTCTCTCTCTCTCTTTCTCTCTCTCTCTCCTCCCTCCCTCCCCCACTCATGCACGCTCTCTGTCAAAATAAAGAAATAAACATTTAAAAAATAACAGTATTGGGGTGCCTGGGTGGCTCAGTTGGTTGAGTGTCCAACTTTGGCTCAGGTCATGATCTCACAGGTCGTGAGTTTGGGCCCTGCATTGGGCTCTGTGCTGACAGGTTAGAGCCTGGAGCCTGCTTCAAATTCTGTGCCTCCCTCTCTTTCTGCCCCTCCCTAGTTCATGCTCATGTGTGTGTGCTCTCTCTCAAAAGTAAATAAACATTAAAAAAAGAATAACAGTATCATTTCCTGCCCATCAGATTGTCAAAAAAGGAAAAGGTTTACAACATCCATTTTGGTGAAAATTTGACTAAACCAGCATTATCACACACAAGAATATCAATTTGCATCATACCTACCAAAGTTTAAAATATGTATATCCTGTGATCCAGCAATTTCACTTATAGATATAAAACCTAAAGATATAGTTGCCATACATACAAAGTTATATGCATAAGGATATTCACTGCTTAGCAGTGAGAAACTGTAAATAGGCTAATGTCCACCAGTGAAATGATGGCGAATGGAATTATGCAATCATTAAAAAAAGATCTCTACATATCAACATGGAAAATTCTCTAAGAAGTGAAAAAAGTTAGTATCATATCTGTGCCAGTCATCAGTTATTGTCCCTCGACTCCAAATCTATCCTTCATTGCCCTGTTTTGTGATACTAGATAATTTCATTTTTCCTTTGCCAGCTGATGGTTTTAAGCTGTATCACTAGGGGGTGCTAGAGGGACATTGCAGGAAGAAGGGGGATTCTCTTCCTGGTTCCTGGATGCTTTCCTTGTTTTTGTTTTTTCCTTTGTATTAGAAGAACGCCCAGTGATGCTTGCCTACCATCAAGTTTCAACAGCACGACAATCAGGCAGCTTCCCAGTGAGTTTCAACAGAATTCTTGTGACTTCGCATTTAATTCTGCCAGCATCCTTGTGAGCAGTTTCCTGGAATCTCAGTGGTTTTCTGGAGAGTTTGTCAGCACTCCAACTCAGCAGTCCAGCCCACAGTTTCCTGCACTCCAGTCTCAATGCGCAGCAATTCATCAAACTTCATCATCCAGTGACATCATCTGTCATACACTCTTCCGTAAAGTCCAATTATTAGTCTTGGAGGAAAGGGGCCTCTTCCAAATTTGTTCCTTCCTTGAGCACATTGCCTCAACCTTAGAAGCCGTGGCTGCTCCCTATATCTGCTACTGTATTGTTTTAGAGTTCTTTTTACACCTTAGTAGTTAATCCCATTACTAGTTAATAATTCTTTATCTTAAATTTTCCCTGTTTAACGTGTGGTTTCTGTTTCCTGACTGAGATCCTAGCTGATACAACATCTCATTTATATTGTGTGTGTGTGTGTGTGTGTGTACATACTTACGTAAATATATAGATGACACAGAAAATACCAAATTATTATCAGTGATTATTACAAGAAAATGAATGGAATTACAAGTATAGGATAAAAGAGGATTTTCTCGGGGCACCTGGGTGGCTCAGTTGGTTAAGCATCTGACTTCAGCTCAGGTCATGATCTCATGGTTCATGGGTTTGAGCCCCACATGGGCTCTGTGCTGACAGCTCAGAGCCTGGAGCCTGCTTCAGATTCTGTGTCTCCCTCTCTCTCTGCCCCTCCCCTGTTCACACTGTCTCTCTCTGTCTCTCAAATAAATAAATGTAAAAAAAATTTTTTTTGAAAAAAAAAAAAAAGAGGATTGTCTCATTTACTCTATATACTTCTCATTTTAATTTTTTATAGTAAGCATTAATTCAGGTATTATATAATTCAAAACAACTACATATGTATTTAGTATATAAAATACATATATCATGCCAATTTCTAGGGATTAAAACATGGTATTAGAGGACTGCTTCATGACTGAGGGCTGCTCTTGGAGAGATTAACTATAAACAGAAAAGATGATACATTGGGATGTATGGCTGGCTCAGTCAGTAACGCATGTGACACTTGATCTCGAAGTTGTAGGTCTGAGCTCCATGCTGGGTATAGAGATTGAAAATAAAATCTTTGGGGAAAAAAAGTGACAAATTATAAAAAAGGCAATGACTAGTGTGAATAAGACAAATTCTAAGTGCTAAGGATTTGAGATTACTGCATAATTTTATGAGATGCCAGAAATTATGGCACTGCTCACAGGGTCAAGGGTTGCACATGCAGGAAAAATGGCAATAGGAAGATAACCAACTCCAGTTTCATGGTATCAGTAAGCAGAAGTTAGTACAGAGAGTCTAAGATGATCATTTATAGGTTTAGAGCTTGCCTAAGCCACTCCTAAAACCTGGAGGCCTCGAGTTTAGGGGAAGGCAATAGAGTAAGCCCTGAAGTGCCAGCAATTGTCATTCCAATGATTTCCAGCTTTATTTCTCGACTTCTTCCAACCCCTGCCTAATTGCCAATTCCAGAGAAGCCATGGCAAAATCTACTGCCACAGTCAGAGCTGTAAAGTCAGCATTCCCTAACTTAACAGGGAACCCAAAATATAAATTTCTCTTAAGACAGGAGTGTTTTTTTATAGAACCAAAATAGGGGAATGAGCTCAAGGTAGTGAAGCAGACTTACATGCTATTCATATACAGTATAGATAACTGAACTTGCAAAACATATAAAGAGCTTTAGACTTAAAAAATGGAAACTGTAGTGTGATTAAAGAAAAAAAAAAAAGCATTCAGCCTGAATTGGAATCACAGTCCTAGCACTATCTAGGATTTCTTTTTACTCAATTAGTTAATTGAGTTTTAAAGTCAGATTCCTTGGGATGAAATCCCAGCTCTATCACACATTAGCAGGTTAATCACTCTTAGCCTGTTTTTTTATTTACATTAAGAGGACGAAAGTACCTACACCCTATGTTTTTGAAGAATATATAGAAGATATGCACAGTACCTGGTACTTACTAAGGTCTCAATACTGTCACTTTCACTCACTTTTTGAGTCTCAAGGGTTTTTATTCGTTTTACCTAAAAATGAGGGGTCCCTGCTAGATTATCTCAAAAGCCCCATTCCTGCTTTACCACTCTATATAAGTCTACAGATCAAGGATAGGTTTCTTAGGTGGAGGTGGCATGGAGGGAGGTACTACTAGAGAAAACAGTTTAAATGAAAGTCAATGAAAGTTTTATCAGAAAGGTGGCAAATAATTCAGTAGAAACTGTCTTCAGGGAGTTTATGTCAGAGAACGCGTCACAGGAGTCAAAGTGCCAGGTATCCTGTAAAGGCAGAGGTAAGAAGAGAGATGCCTTTCTCAAAACTGGAGGATGTGATGGTGATCTCATAGTAACTCAGAGGATAAATCTGCTGATCTGGTTGTGTAAGCCCAGTCCTTTGAGAAGACTGACAAGCCCACACAGAGGGGCTAAGGATAACTCCCTGTATCAGTCACTTCTTAAAGGGCCAGACATCATCTCTGCACTCAAATTAATTTGCGTGCCAACTAATACAAAAGGAGTGGATAACTTGGTGATAGAGGGGCCCAGACAACAGCTGTCTTTCAACACACCTCCAGGCTTTGCTTTACTGCCCCATTCGGGGTGAACCCCTAGGGCATCTCACACTTGGGGGGGGGGGGGCCCCCCCGGGGCGCCATCTTACTCTTCCCCTTACCCGGTGTCCGCCCCGCATTCTCCTTTCCTTGTCCCTAAGTCTGCTCACCGCGCCTCTCCCCCCACCTCCCTCCTTCCTCCTCCCCATTTCTCTGGCCCCTCCCGTGCTCCCACTCTCTTTTTCTCTCCGCCCCCCCCCCATTGCTTCCTATTTCTCATCTCCGACTGTCACATCTCCCCTCTTTCCCGTTTCTATCCCCTTTCCCCCTCCCCGTTGTTGCTGTTTTCCCGCGCTCACCCTTCTCTAGCCGACCGCCGCTCGCGGACCCAAGCGGAAATTTAAAGGCCGAGTAGCCTACAGCGCAGAGGCGGGCCTAAGGTGGGTGGACGTCCCGATTCTCCCGCCCCCTGAAGGCGGATCCCGAGAGCGATTGGTCCCCACGGTACACCTCCCAGGACGGGCAGCTCTTCCCACCACAGCGTGTCCAGACCATTTCCGCCCCTCACTGGGAAAGGCCCGCTTCCACACCCCACTCTTGCTAACTCGGAGGTCGGGTTCCTGGTGGGGTTTTGCCCGGTTCCGCTGTACCTCTTACAACTTTTCAGTGTATTGTGCAGGCGGCGTTTCTAGGATCTATGGTATTTCTTTACTGCCGCCGAGGTTTTCTTTGAATAGGAGGCAGTCAGAATTAGAAAGCCGGTCCTCCCTCTCTCTCCTGTGTCTTCCGTGTTTACTGCGTGTTGGCCACATTTGTAAAGCCCAACAAACTGATTCGTAACCGCGGGCTGAGCTCCATGATAATAATAGTAGCTAATACTCCAAACTTACTGTGCGACAGCTACTATTATAGACGTTTTGTAAGAATTGGCTCCTTTCTCTGTAAGGTAGATGTGTATTATCCCCGTTTTACAGATGAGGCAACCAAGTTACAGAGAGGTTAAGTATCTTCCTCGAGACCAGCTCTTAATGCAGCTAAAAAGTGGCAGTTAGGATTAGAACCATGTAGACTCCGCTAAGCCAAACCCACTGTAATAACTGCCTCTGGGACCCTAGAATAAATCCTGCTGCAACTCAAGAAGCAACTTTTGAGACTTACCTCTTCCTCTGAATCAGGTCTAGAAAACATGGAGGAGGAAGGGTGAGGATGGGCAAGGCCAAGAGATTCTTTGTTTTGGCTCTATGTTCTCTGAATTGCTTGGTGAATTGGAGGATAAGGTGGATTCATTACGTGGATATACAGTGTATGGATATCCTTTTGAAATCATTCTTTAAAGGTAACTTACTAAAATATTAAGGGGTAAAAACTATTAAATGATCTTTTATTAAAATGGGAAAAACGGGGCGCCTGGGTGGCGCAGTCGTTTAAGCGTCCGACTTCAGCCAGGTCACGATCTCGCGGTCCGTGAGTTCGAGCCCTGCGTCAGGCTCTGGGCTGATGGCTCGGAGCCTGGAGTCTGTTTCCGATTCTGTGTCTCCCTCTCTCTCTGCCCCTCCCCCGTTCATGCTCTGTCTCTGTCTGTCCCAAAAATAAATAAAAACGTTGAAAAAAAAATATTTTTTAAAAAATAAATAAAATAAAATGGGAAAAACATAGTAAAGAGTTTTAAGGTGCAGGATATTCTTTAGGGGGTTGTAAATAGTATTTTTGTTTCTGTATTAATATTTAAAGAGATATATAGTAGCTGTGCAAATGTTGGGGCAGGGGGGAGGCTTGCCCATTAAGGTTATATGTACCTTTCAAATGATTGAGTAGTCACATAATAGTCACATAAATCTCAGCTCACTTGTCGAAATTCCAGAAGCAGAGCTTTTCTCCACAAGTACTATTACTCATCATACCACATTACATCATATAATTTATAGAATGACTTCCAGGAACAAAAATGTCAAAAATTTATTTGATATGATATTTATCATTTCAAAAATAAGTTCAGGGAAAGTCCATAGACAATTTCAAATATTATTATTCAGTAAGTTTTCCTTATTAAGATACAGTGAACAAGATAAACATTTTTATTAAAGATCTTGGTAAGTTGATTGTAGAGTAGGAATTTAGTTAGCTTTACCAATAAAAAGGTAGTCTGAATAAGGAATGGTGCAGAAATGGATCAGTCTTAGGCACAGTAGTCTACTTAACCACTGAACTCATTTCCACTTAAGGACTAGAAAATGATGGTGATCTTTGGAGAATACTGAAATGAAAAGGCAGAGGAATACATAGCCGTTCAATTAAAACAGAGCAACAAAACTGTGTCAATAATATTATGTAGCCAGAGGGGAAGCCTTTAGCAATGACTGAGTAAAAAATGTATTTTTCCTTTCATACCTCAAGTTACACCAGTAAGGAACTTTGGAAGATGTGTTAGGAGAACTAGTTTCTTTCCTGTCTTCTTCCATGCTTCATACTTAACTCTGCCGCTGTTGGGAAACTCACTCCTCAAGCTTTGTAGCAATTAGGTTCATGCTTTGCCAAGTAATTTCTTTGTGGGCCTCCATCATAAAAGTTGAGTTAGGTATCCTCAGGTCTCTTTACTTTTGAGGGAGAGAAGATAGAGACTGAGGCTTAATGTCTAGTGTTGATGGATTGGGTAAAAGTTCTTCCTTCAGATTCTGAATATTAATGGCCTTCATTATGGAGACATAGGCAAATAGTTAATTCTGGTTCTGAAGGAAGTGATATAGAAACACTGCATTTTTTAAAAGTTTATTTATTTTCAGAGAGAGACAGAGAGCATGCAAGGGAGGGGCAGAGAGAGAGGGAGAGAGAGAATCCCAAGCAGGCTCTGCATTGTCAGTGAGGAATCTAACTCAGGGCTCGAACCCACGAACCACAAGATCATGACCTGAGCTGAAATCAAGAGTCAGATTCTCAACCAACAGCCACCCAGGCTCCCTGAAACACTGCATTTTGTTCATTTGGGCATAGTATACATGAAGGACGTGACTATAACTCACTGTGAACAAAATGGCTATTTTTATATTATTCTTTTACTACATTTGGCCCTAATTTTGACACAGAGCCACAATAGGATCAACAGAAGAAAAAAAGAAAAAGAAAAAAAAAAGGCCAGGTCAAGATTATCCAGCTCAGAATTCTAACAATGGACCAAAAGGACTGAATTGGACAACTAGATTGCCTTCCCTGATGTTAACTTGGAAATTCAATAGGATAGCATCCTATAACTTTACATGTATAGAGCCAGGATAGTGAACATGATACCTCTATTGTGACTGTCATTTATTTGCTGTTGGCTCAAAAATCTACATCTTCAGCTCTGATTTCCTATCCTGAACTCTAAACTGCAATGGTCTTTATCTCTACCTGGATGTCCTGGGTATCCCACAAGCATCTCCAGTCCCACCTGTCCAAAACTGAATTAACTCATCTCCTCCCTCACCCACCCCAGAACGATGCTTTGGTGAATGAATAGCACCCCTTTAGACTCAAGCCAAAATTAGAGAACATTCCAGATCTTTTCCTCCCCTCACCCTTCCTTCTCACTCATCTAATTAGTGGCCAATCATACCTGGTCAATTCTACTTGATTCAATATATCAGGCACCTACATCCTTATAAACAATTAATACTGGTTGTCTTAGGTCTGGTTCCCTAGCAGGAGAGTCTAGAAGAGGATTTGGGATGCGCGTGATCTATTGAGGGAATGAGTTTCAAGAAAAACCTACTACAAGGGAGGGATAGAAGCAGACTAGGGAAAGGAAAAGAGCCCGACAAGCAGGTAGTCTCAGGTAAAATCTAGTTTGGCCTGATCCACAGGTAAGGTACTTGAAGCATTAACCACACAGCAGAATTATGTCCCTGAAGGCAAGGGGGCCAATCTCTTATACCCCTCTAGCAGTCATTGACTGAAGGCAGTCGTTGGCAGGGGGTGGGCATCATAGTTTGTTTTCTGGGTGAGGTGGCTGCAGTCAGTGGTGGGTAATTCTCTAGAGAAAGGGTCAGCTATGAGTTGTTAGCATCCACAGTCACTGCTGGGGATGGGGGCTCCCACTTGGTGACAGGTGATCCGGGCAGGACACCACATTGTCTACCACACCAGCCCTTATCATCTCTCATTTGAACTACTACAGTAGCCTTCTTGTTGGAATTTCTACTTCTAGACTTAATTATTTTTAATTCACTACCCAACCAAAATGATTTTTCCAAAAAGAAAATCTTATCATGAAGCTATTCAAAAGTATAGAGGAAAAAAAGCAAAACTCATGAACATTTCACATCAACCCTTCATGTTAAAACCTTATACCACCTTCCTAGTCTTCCTAGAACTCTTCATCCACCTACACTTCATGACTATCTCACACTTGCGCGCACACACACACACACACACACACACACACACACATGCAAATCTTGCACACATGCACACACTAACCTTTGCTCTAGAAATATCAAATGCAAACACTTCATACTTTCTCATGTTACCATGCTTTTACACTGTTGCTTGATCTGTCTAGAAGATCTTTCTCTCCCTATTGCCACTTAGCTACCTGAGAAATTCTGGTTCCTTTCCAGAAATAAGTGTAGCAACACCTATAAATTTATTTCGCCAGACCCAGCCAAAGCTCTCATGGTACCAAATTATGGCATGTGTCTCACTGTACTGTAATTGTGTACTTAAGCACATGTCTTTCCAGTTAAAAATAAGCTCTTCATTTTACCTCTTGGGACTGGCTTGAGGCTAAGGCTCAATAAATGTCACTTGTTGATCTTTCAGCTTTATCACCCCTTGAATAACATGTTCCATTAGTTTAACACTCACTGTTTCATGTGATCCTACCTCACACGCCCCCAAACTGTCTTCTTGAGGCTCCATGACATATCCCCTTCTTTTACATTGTCGAATTTGGTAGGCAAGCCCATGGTCACTCATGATTTTACTAACTTCAATGTCATTTTTCATGAGTCTTATGCAGTTCTAACTAATAATTTATATTTGAGCTGAGTAAGTTTTAAAAACTGAGTACAATTCCTATAGATGAGGAATGAGAAAGTATCCTTCAAGACTTAAGAACCAGCATGGACAAAGGCAAAGGAATGAGAGTACTGGTCAATCAGAGCACTAACTACAGTGTCAGGAGGACAGAGGGGTGTGATGGAGAAGAGACTAGAGACCAGTGGGTGTGGAGCCTTGAATGCCTCCCTGACTGAGATGCAGGGCACAACTGTGTAGTCAGAGGGTGCTTAAGTCCTGGCTCTGCCACCTCTTAGCTGGTTGATCTTAGGTAAGCATCTTAACCTCTCTGAGCATTGCTTTCCTCATTTGTAAAATGACAATGCTATGAAAACCTTTAAAAATATGTAAAACCCAATTAAAATTTTCTGACTGAATGCTAGCGGGGGGTGGCTGGCAGAAGGGAAAGAGAGAAAGACCAATTCCAAAGAAGGGGAAGAGCTGGCTGGGACCTGGGAGGACTCTGTCATAGCTGTCCGTGGCCCTCCATGGGCAGATAGAAGCAGAAGGATGGAACTGATTCCTTGGTCAGACTGAAACATCAAAAAATGACTCAAAAGCGGCTGTATACTAAGGCCCAGCTATTGCCCAAGCAGATTAACTTCCTTGTTTTTTTGATGTTTATTTTTTGAGAGAGAGAGAGAGAGAGAGCGCAAGTGGGGCAGAGAAAGAGGGAGACACAGAATCCGAAGCAGGCTCTAGGCTCTGAGCTGTCACCGATGCGGGGCTCAAACTCTTGAACCATGTGAGATTGTGACCTGAGCCCAAGTCTGCCATTCAGAGGACTGAGCCACCCAGGCGCCCCAAGTTTAAGATTAACTTCTTAGGAGAAGTTTCCCATGTGGGCTGAGAAATAGAAAAGTGGGCCTTTCCCAACTGGGAATCAGTTTGGGGGAGGTGATCCAGTGGTTCTGACTCTGTACCTGGCACAGAGTTGCTTGCCTGAGAGCTGACAGCACATGCAAATAGTAAATAAGCAGTACCA